AAAAAAAAAAAAAAAAAAAAGAAACCCACTTGCCGGGAGTCTGAGTTTTGTAACACCTTTTTCTTTCTTTCTTTTTTTTTTTTTCTTCTTTTGGTTTTTCGAGACAGAGTTTCTTTGTGTAGCCCTGACTGTCCTGGAACTTGCTCTATTCAACTTTAAATAAGAAATTAGTGGTCCATGACTTTAATGCCAGCATTCTTTGGAGGTAGAGACAGGCAGATCTTGTTATGCCCAGATCCACTAAGTCCCCCAAAAACCAACAAGGAGATTGAGTCCCATATGTAAAAGCAAAGAGCCTTTATTCTACACAAGTTTGCAAAACTCGGTCTCTCCGCATTTCCAATGTATTGGGGTGATCGGAGAGCCCCGAGCTCAGTTAGAGTTTGGTTTTTGTAATAGTAAAGGTGGGGGTGAAGGATTTCTAAGGTTCAGGACCCCTGATTGGCTGACGTTTGTCTATGGGTGTCCTGGTGAATGTGTGCACAGGTATTTCCTTTGGATGGTCTGTGCCTGGGTAATCTCTGTGCCCCTTCTGCAACCCAAAGTATTGCCTCAGGGTAAACTGCTGAGACTCAGGCCTCCATTAAGCTTATCTGGTTGGGTCCTACACTGGCAGGTGATAATGGTTGGAACATTAAGAACTCCCTTTGGGGGCTGGAGAGATGGCTCAGTGGTTAAGAGCATTGCCTGCTCTTCCAAAGGTCCTGAGTTCAATTCCCAGCAGCCACATGGTGGCTCACAACCATCTGTAATGATGTCTGGTGCCCTCTTCTGGCTTGCAGACATACAGACAGAATATTGTATACATAATAAATAAATAAATACATTAAAAAAAAAAAAGAACTTCCTTTGGATGGTCTGTTCCTATTAAGCTTCTCATGGCTGGGTCCTAAAGATCTTTGTGAGCTGGGGCTAGCTTGGCCTACATAAGCAAGACAGCAAGGGTTACATAGTGAAACCAGAACAAACAGACAGAACAGGGCCAACAGGGTGTCTGTGCGGTTAAAGGCACTGAATTTTCAGGGAGCCTGATTAAATTACGTAGGACCCACCTGGTGCAAGTTGTCCTTTGTTCAGTAGCGCTCTCTACCCCACCCCTAAACATATTAAATGTAAAGAAAGTAACAAAAACAAAACAAACAAAAAATCCTTCATGGTTAAAGAAAAAAAAAAAGGGAAAGGGAAAAGAACTGGAAGAGAGACCAGTGCTACTGTAACTACTTAAAAATGTTTTAAGGACCAGCGAGGCTGCTTAGAGGGTCAAGGAGCTTGCCAATAAGCCTGATACCTGAATTCAAGCCTTGGAACCCTCATGGTAGAAGGAGAGAACCAACTCCCACAGTTTGCCCTCTGACCCCTCTCTATCTGCCCGCTGTGACATGCACTCTCTTCTTCCTAAATAAGTAAATAAAGATGTAGCACACGGATGGCTCCCACTCCCCCAAGCACACAAAGTAAATTTAAAAGCCCACTGCTGGGTTTATGGTATAAAATAGAATATCCACAGTGACAGCAGAGCCAGAAGAGAAACTAGCAAGAGAGGGCCAAGTTCAAAGACAATTAAATTTGCATGGTTCTACCATCTGGTCCAAACTGTCACTATGCCAAAGACTGTGGTATCGCATAAGCGTCTATACAGACCAATGGCATTTCCCACCAGTAACAAAAACACATGGAAGTATGTTTTATTTTTGAGACAGGGTCTGTGTAACCTTGGCTGGCCTGGAATTCACTGATCTGCCTGGCTCTGCCATCTGAATGCTAGGATTAACAGCGAGCACCATCATAACTGGCCTAGTAAAAGTTTCTTTCTTGCCCGGCGGTAGTGGCATACACCTTTAATCCCAGCACTTGGGAGGCAGAGGCAGGCAGATCCCTGAGTGTGAGGCCAGCCTGGTCTACAAGAACTAGTTCTAGGACAGGCCCCCAAAAGCAACAGAGAAACCCTGGCCAAAAAACCAAAAAAAAAAAAAAAAAAGTTCTTTCTTTTTTTGGGGGGGCAGAGGTTTCAAGACAGGTTTTTCCTCTGTATCTCTGGAGAGACCAGACTGGCCTTGAACTCACAGAGAGACACCTGTCTCTGCCTCCCCAGTGCTGGAATTAAAGGCGTGCACCACCACTGTATGGTGTAAAAATTTTTTTATATTAAATATTAGACATCAACCAATAACCATCTGGAAGAAAATAGAAGATGGTTGGCATATTAATAACATATGCAAGAATAAACTCCAGAGGATCAAACATTTACAAGTGCTAAAACATGTAGGCTAAAGATTGCTTTTGAAAAATTTAATATTACGGGCAGGAGAGATGGGCTCCATAGCAGAGTCTATTGCTTTTTCAGAGGATCCGAGTTCAGTTCCCAGCACTCACACTGGGTGGATCCCAGCCATCTGTAACTCCAGCTCAAAGGGCATCTCTTCTGGAACCCATGGAAAACACTTTCCACACAAGGAAAACACTTACACAAACACAAATATAAATGCATACACATAATTTCTTTTTCAGAAGGGCCATAGATATGACTTGGCAAGTAAAGGTATATTCCACTAAGCCAGATGACTTGAGCTCAATGCCCAGAACCTACTGGAGACAACCGATTCCTCCTAATCTCCACATACATGCATGTAGCAGATGTATGCACATAAACACAGATACATACGTGTAAAGAAAAAAAACTGAAAACATTGAGTATATACATGGAGAGTGGTGTATGATCATGTTTTAGAAACTTTTAATGTAAATAGTCTAGCAAGACATGATATCATGTATCTTTAATCTGAGCACTGTGAGGCAGAGGCAGGCAGGTCTTGAATTCAAAGCCAGCTTGGTCTATGTTAGGTCTCAAAACCAAGGAAAAATGGCTAAGGTGCCTATTTAACATATCAAATCGGACCGGCTGCCAGGTTCTCTCATCTCTCAGTTCCTACCTACTACAGGGCCTATCTGGCATCCCTCCTACCAGTATCCAGTCCAGGGCTAGGCTGCCCTTCCCTCAGTTGTCTTTCCCTATAGAACCCAGCCATTTTGGTTACCCAGCCCTTTCTTTACCCTTTACTGCCCTGGCTCCCCTGGGTGGCCCAGCTCAAAGTCCTGTTCACTCTGGACTCTCCCCATGTCCTTGCCTCTGGCTATGCTCTCCCTTTTATTTATGACAAACCTTCTCCTGCACCACACCTAAGGGTAATCACATGCTTCCTTTTTATTACCAGCCCGGCTACACAGTAAGACTCTGGAGAGGGTTACATGAAAGTAACTGTGCTGCTTTGAGTGGGAGGGCTGCAGGGACTCCACTGCTTCTTTCATTATCTGCCCATGGCTCGCTTATTCCAGCTGCTAGCAGTACAGGAAGCACCAGCTAAGAAGAGACAAGAGCCTTTTTGAAGGCTCTGACGAAGTGAGTGCATGAGCTTTGATTGAGGAGGAGATTCAGAGCCCCTGCAGCACCGAGAGTGACCCTCAAGGGAGGGATGCTCCTCAAAGTCACTTACCAACTTTGAGGAAGGTTTTCAGCTCCAAGGGTCTTAGCACTGGTTGCTTCTCTATCCGCCCATAGGTTTCCGCGATGCTCTCCACCTCCACTTTGGGGCATTTAAATAGCTCGTAAGTACCATCCCGGTTCTGGATAAAGCTCCGAGTGATTTCCAGGGGCATCTGGACACAGAGACGGGTAATAAAGGGAGACAGACAACTTGAAATTCAGGCATCTTCGGTGCCAGTAAGTCTCTTATGTTTCTTTTTATCTTTTAAATATATCAATTTTAGC